ATCTATCTATCTATCTATCTATCTATATCTATCTATCTATCTATCTATCTATCTAATCTATCCATCCATCCATCCATCCATCCACCCATCCTTCCTTTCTTTCTTTCTTTCTTTCTTTCTTTCTTTCTTTCTTCTATCTCTCTCTCTTCCTTCCTTTCTCTCTCATCTATCCATCTATCTATCCATCCATGCATGCATCCATCCATCTATCCATGCATCCATGCATCCATGCATCCATCCATCCATCCATCATCTGGACACCTAGTGTGTGTGTGTAGGTCAGAGGACAACTTGCAGGATCAGTTCTGTCTTTTCTACCATGTTGAGTCCTGGGGCTCAAACTCAAGTCCTCAGGTTTGGTGGCAAGTGCTTTTACTCACCAAGCCATCTGGCCCCAAGCCACTGCTTTTGAGTACACAAATGTAAGGGTATGCCCTTTCTTCTAAACAGTGATTTGACTTCATCCTGTGGGTTTTAACACGCAGCACTCTCATTTTTATCCACTTTTAAGCTTTTCCTCAGCACCAACATACTCTGGGGCTCCCAATCTTGCCTCCCCTGTCAGACCTCAAACCCCATAGCTCCCCTCTTTCCACTTCTCCTAGAATGTCCAGTTCAACATAGCACCAAGTTATTGCCAAACCCTTACCTCTTTCTGGATCTCACTTTTGAGGGCAGAGATCTTCATTTTCATATCCTCCAGCTCATGGTCTGGGAAAGGGTGCACCTGGGGGCTGGCCTCTGACTCCTCGGGGGATGGAAACACTAAGTCGGCCAGGGGGATGTACCACTTACAGTCATATTGCTGGTGCTTTCTGCAAACAAGCCAGGGGAGATGTGAGCCAGGGACTGCTTACCCAGAGCCAAAAACTACCCAAAAGTAGGAAGAAATGATCCTTGCCCTTAAGAAACTTCACCAAGAACACATAGGTCTGGGTTAGTCAGCAGTGAAGCCTATTCTTTACTTTCACCCAACAGTTGTGTTTTTAAATACCCCAAAACACTGTGCATCAGAAGAATGAAGACTTCTTGGCTGAACTCATACTCATCGTTCTTTAGAGTGGAGATGGGGTATAGATGTTATTCTGAATGCCAGCTCCAATCACTACGGATCACACAGAGTTCTGGGCTGAGGATTAAAAAGCTACATCCAAGCCTAGTGGGAAAGAGTTCCATGGCTGATTTGTAATGCCTGCTATGGGAGGAGCAAAGACAGAGGTACATATGCTTATTATTGCCATCTCTGTAGTCTACTTTCTGGGAGTCATGTCCTTTAGGGAAGCTCATAATGAGCTCTCCTCTGAATTCCTCTGAGAACTAGATTTGTTCCCCTGATTCTGGTTCCTTAGTGCTGCAATAAGTGCATGGTTATCTACCCTGTACTGTAAGGCAGTATACTTGGCACATAAAAGGTGAGAAGTGTAGATGGAAGAATGTTAATAAATACTGAGACACCTTTTCTGCTCATGACACAGAACAGACCCACACTACTGAAAAGGAACTGAGGAGTTTCAAGTAGACTAGAGTTCAAATCCTATCTTCTCCATTTCTAGCTGATGACTTCAGGAAAACTTATCTCCTTTTCCCTAAGACTTTTGACTATAAGATGAGGATAATATGGGTTGGAGAGATGGCTCAGTGGTTAAGAGCACTGACTGCTCTTGCAGAAACCCAGGTTCGAATCCCAGCATTCACATGGCAGCTAACAACTGATTCCCAGCACCCACATAGCAGCTCCGGTTCTCGGGGAATCTGACACCTTCTTCTGACCTCCATGGGCACTGCACAACACAGGTGCACTTACACACATGCAGGCAATACACTCGTACACATAAAATTAAAAACAAAAAGATGAGGATAATAATAATCATTTTGTGGAGCTGTTGAAAAAAATAGAAATAATGTATTTCAAGCATTTGTCATGACACCTGGCAAGGTAGAAGCCCTCAATAAACGGCAACAGATTTAATGAATATTCACAAAATCACAGCAAAAACTTGAGTTGTCTAATAAGAGGAGAATACTTAAGCAAATTATAGCATACTCACTTGTAATATCATGTAAGAAAGTAAAATGATTGTGAAGATTAGGCAGCAGCAGGAAAAATGCTTATGGCAGGGAAGACAAAAATCAGAGCCCAAAATTGGGCATTCTCTCTGATTGCAACTATGAGAAAAAGTCCAAGACCACTGAAAAAAGAAGAAAAAATAAAAAAGAGAAAAACAAACAAAAAAACCCGAAAAACAAGCAGGGGAAGGAATATAGCCACAGGAGACTGATGCTTAAGCAGGTTATTATTTTTTTTTTCCTGTAATGTCCATACACTGTTTATAATTAAAATCATGACTTATTTTTAGAAGACTATAACCCTAACTGGCCTCAAATCTGTGATGATCTTTCTGCCTCAGCCTCCCTATACATATGAGCTGCCACTCCCAGCTAATATTAGTTTTTTTGTTTTTTTTCTTTTTAAAGGAGGGGGAGGTGGCAGAGGAGAAAGAAGTGGAGGGGAAGAAAGAGGAGGAGAGGAGGAGGAGGAGGAAGAGCAGCAGCAGCAACGGACTGCCCAGGCTGCTGAGGGCTCCACAATGGGCAATCTGGTTACCCTGCCCCCCGACACTATGACCCTAGACTTCCTCCTACATCCTCACCCTGCAGAGGTCTTCTTCAGCTTGGCACACAGTAGGACATCTGTGAAGAGGAAGACATGCCTCAGCTTCCGGGAGCTCTCGGACATTTCCACCAGGAAGCCATCCTTCACCAGCTGCCGAGTCTGAGGGAAAGAGCACACGCCAACCTGCTCAGAGAGGAGAGCAGCGAGGGCCCAGCTTGCACTGGCTTTGGAGTCTGGGTCCAAATCTAGGCGCAGTCACTCCCAGCTGTACTCCCCTCTTATCTCGGCTTTATCATCTATGCAGTGAAGAATATCTGCCTGGTGAAGTAGGATTCAAGACAGTGGATGTGAAACAGCACAGTGTGGGGTGCATAGTGTGCAATTAGCAGCACATGGTAGTCTCACCCTTTCCCACAGCTCTCAATAGCTCCCTCTGTATAGACTGTCTGGAATGATTTGGTTTCTCCACCCTTGGTCATAAATACCCTCCAACCTCACAGCCCTCCCCCCATGGAGTTTGATCTAGTTTCAGCTCATCCTTACTCAGCAGACTCCCTCAGGCTTATTCATGCTACTTCTTAGTGGATTCCTCAACTATGGATGAGATACCCTTGGCTTGCCCCAGTGGGTCTGTAGTGATCCTGGGGCTACCTCTAAACTGGGCTCTGGACAGACAGGAACATGTGACTGCACAAGAGACAGGTAGTGCTTCCTTCCTGACACCCTCAGAGTTGACAGGCTTCTCCAGAGCTGTCACCATCCACTTCAGTCTACTCCGTGTGCACTATAGGTTGTGTGACCTACATACACTATGGTATGTACGTGAGCATGTTGAAAGGACTCAATTAAGAGAACCTGAAACTGATAGCGCTCAAAGCCTCTAGAGATTTTTCAGATATTCGCAGAGTAAAACAAATAGTGCCAATCTGGGGTGTCACAAACCAGGCTGGGAACTGTGTATAGACACAGCTCTATGCCGCATTAGTTATGTTCCAGACCCTGTCCCTCATTACTTTCCTTCCCCAGAGACACAAGAGGCTCATAAATATAACAAAAGGAAATAAACCCAGTCAGCCTTTCCTCCTAAATACCACTTAACTACCTCAATTGGACAGGAGGCACTCTATCTAGGCCAGGCTGCTGACCCCTGAGGGTCAGAGTCTAACCCCATTCTTCATAATGCTTCTCCATGAAGGGGACCAACAAGGAAAACCCTTAGGGGAGTTGAACACACATTTAGGTGTCCACAAGGACATTTTAGAAGCCTGGATAGCCTGAGCCATCTCTCTGGTATCAGCATTTTCTGCTGCCGAACTTACTCCCTAGTTCAGACATACCTATTGTGTAGTTTAATTTGACACTGCTAGAGTTCCTGCTCCCTTAGCCTCCCAGAACACCCTGAGAACATCATCCCAACCAGAGGGAGGTATCCATGTCCAAAAATGAGGTGCCAGAGGCCCAGCTTCTGGTGAGGGAGGCAATGTATGGAGTTTGCAGCAAAGAGCTCAGTAAGACTTCCATTCTGACACTTATGCCTGAGTGTCCTTGTGCTAGACCCAGAGATAGTCTAGGCCTCAGTTTCTTCTTCTGCTTTACCAGTTCATTATGAGGACTAATGAGACAATAGTCTTAAACTCTTAACCTAGGACCTGACATGCTATCGGGTAATCAAGGTGACCAGAACTGCAGGCCTTCCCTTGGTAGGTGCACAAGGTTCTCAGCATGATGCCTCTGCATGAAGGATGGATGGCAGGGACAGGGGATCTGGGCACTCAGTCTAGGTGTGAGGTTGTGCAGGGTCCTGAGCTCACCTCTCCCTTGGGGGTTGTGACTGCAGTCCGCCGGGGGTCGATGTCCTCATTGATGCTGGACAAGAAGTTCTGGGAGATGCGAAGGGCATCCTGCAGCAGTGGGTAGTCTGGGTGGTCCACAGGTGTGTGTTTCAGCAGGTCCTGGAAAAGGATGCATGGCTGAGTTGAAAGGACGTGTTCTAGGCTCAATGAAAAGATAGTAGGGAGTCCTCAATCCCCACCAAAAGATTTCTGAGGGAGATGTTCAGGGACCCACACTCTAACCTGGCTATGCCTGTGAAATTCGAACTAAAAAATCAGGGTCAGAGCAGCCATGGTGAAAGTAGTGTTCCCCTTGATTTCTGCTGCAGTCCTGATTCTTTCCCCTGGGGGCAGTGGCCAAGTGAAGCCTTATCTCATCAAGCAGCTGGGAGAGATCTCCCTCTACCACCACACAGCTGCTCCCAGGACCCTAGGGATCATGAGGCAGGGGATGAAGCAGCAGCAAGTGTCTGCCTCCTAGGGAGCATCTGTCAAAAATATCAAGCTTAGTAGCCAAGCTATATTTAGGACCTGGCTCTGGTTGCCATAGGCCAGGCAGGTGCAACTGGGGCCCAGGGACCCTCTAGTTTGCTCCTCAAATGGAGTCTCAAGTCATTCCAGTGCCTTCCCACAAACTCCTAAGCTATCCCTGGCCACTCCAGGGGCCTGACACTCACGTGTAGGACCAGGGTGCTCCGAGTGACTCGGTCAATGGGCTTGTAGAGCAGAGCTGTAGGGAAGGCAGCAAAAGGAGACAACAATGAAGTGCAAAGGGAAACTCTGGACCCTGGAGACCAGCTTCATCTCCAATATGCCTTGCTTCTCCATGTCAACACCCACTTGCAGGAAGCCAAAGTGGGCTCTGTGTCATCCTGGATCTCTGCTCTCACTCCCCAGGCAGGTAAAACAAAAGGAACAAAGGACATAAATGACCCTGTCCACTTGGGATCCCTTCCCACGCCCACCTTCCTATCCTCACTCAGGCCTGTTCTGGCCAGGCTCTCAGAGATGAATCTCCCCTACACGCCATCCCCAATCACATAGTTGCCCAGAGGCAGGCCTGCAGTGGTCCAGCACACAGTGGTGCCCCTAGGACTCCAGGACAGGGAAAGACTCCTGCAGCTTTTCCAGGAAGGTCACTTCCCTCATGCCAATCATTCTCTGGTTCCTCCAGTCTAAGGCCTGGCACAGGCAGCTGGGAACAGCACACTGCATTCATTCTCACTCACACATCAGGAATCATCTCTACACAGGAAGATTCTTCTTCATGCCCTCAAGTGCCCAGACAAAATAGAACTGGCTGAGGGGCCAGGAGGCAGGCCAGATGGCCACTAAAACTCTACCCCAAAACCAGTGGCAGACTGAGGGGCAAAAACTTCCTAAAGGAATTTGGGTAGGGCCTTACTATAGGAGTTCCAAAGAGGCTGGGAACATGCATGCTCAGCCAGGTTCCGTAAGTCACACCCCTCTGTGACCCAGACATCGAGTGAGAATCACCAGGATTCAACAGGGACAGGTGGAGGCAGCAGGCTGTAGCTCAACGCTTCCAAACATCCTTAGGCAAGCAGCTGTGTCCTGCCACTCCCAATCTTGTGGTTGAGTGTTGGTCCTGCACCTGGGTCCCCAAGTCCTGAGGCCATGACAGTTGGCTTTCTGCCATAGGTGCACTAAGGGACAGTCTGGGAAAGAGGACCCTCTAACCTGATGTCCCATGAGACCAGGTTGTCAGATCCTGGAGCTGACCCTCATACCTAGACATCCCCAACCAGAGTCCCCTAAGGTCCTAGATGTAAATACCCTGCAAATTGCTAAGTAGACACGTCAGGGAACAGTCTGCACTCTGAAGATGTGGCCTCATTGTGTGCCAAGAGCCCTATCTGTAGCCCATTAGGATCATAGGGGCACTCTTAAAATAAGCAGGTGTCTGCTCCCCATTCTATCAACTAAACTCAAATCTCTGAAGGGTCAAAAAAGCTGTTTTGTTGACACTGACATAAATTAACAGCTAAAATCCACCGCTTTATGCAAACACACTGCCTATGACTTTTTGTAGCCCTTTCGTATCCAGCCATTTCTAGCAACCCTCCCCATGGTCCATGGGGTCTGGAATGGAAAGGTCCCGGAGTATGCTGGGACAGTGAGGGTAAAGTTAGGGTATTGGGGGGTGCCTTGTCCATGAAGCTAAGGCATCCCACCCACCTGTGGCTCAGGCATCTGCAGAGGGAAAGTCGCGGCAGACTCTCTGAGACCCAGTGGGAAGCGCAAGGTTAACAGACACAGGCTGAGGTGGGCCCTGAGTCCCATCCCCCAGGAAAGTTGACACTGCACTGTCAGCTCCTACAGCCCTCTCCCAGGTCCCAGGAGGAAGAGGTTTCTGACTAAGCTCAGAAGTCTGCACAAATGATGGGTCAGGTTTCAAGGGGGCTATTAATATGCCTGAGGTCACCCCAAGAGTCCATCTGGGGCCAGGAAATGAGTCCTGTGGCCTTGACCTCAGCTAAGGGGGAGAGGGTGGGTGAAAGGAAAGAAGGAGATGAGGAAAGACAGGACTACAGTTGGGTATGGAGGGAGCCAGACAAGGAAGTGCATCCCCAGTGTCTTTGTTCCCTTGCTCTAGGAGCTCCTGTCCTTTCTGTTCCTGGGCGGTACAGGCCAGCCTGCTTTCCACTCCTGCATCATACTTTCTCCTTACTCTTCCCCACCCTGCTCTGCCTGTGACATTTAAAAAAAAAAAAAAATGCCCTGCTTGTCTCTCCTCTTCCTCCAGGAAGCCTTCTTTGACCAGCACTTTTGCAAACAAGAAAAAGTCAGACCACTGACATGAGCAAGCTGGTCTCTCTCTAGGTTGCATGGAATATACTCTGTGCCCAATGGCCCCAAGTTAACTGCCTTATGTGCATCGTTTCCTGTTATTAAAAAGGGAAACAATTGCAGGGTATGGTAGTAGGGAATGCTTTTAATCCCAGAACTCAGGAGGCAGTGGCAGGAGGATCTCAGCGAGTTTGAGGTCAGTCTGGTCTACATAATGAGTTCCAGACCAGCTATAGCTGCATAGTGAGACTTGCCTCAAAAAAAAAGGAGGTGGGGGCTGGGCATGGTGGCGCAGGGGGATCTTTGTGAGTTCGAGGCCAGCCTGGTCTACACAGTGAGTTCCAGGACAGCTGGAGCTACAGGGAGACCCTGTCTCAAAAAGGCAACAACAACAACAACAACAAAAGGAGGTGGGTAATTTTCAGTAGCCCCATTTTACAGATGAGGAAACTGAGGCACAGAGATGCTATGTAACTTATTATTACAAATTTGTGAGTGGTAGCTGGGTTTTAAACTTCAGTTCACCCATGTGCTTACAATTGAGCTGTCTTCATCCTCAAAGAGCAGCCCTTGTGGAGGCTCCATGAACCAAAGGAGAGTTGTAGGAAAGACTGTCTACCCACGTGAGCCCCCACTGTAAGGCCTAGCTCCTCATTCTTCACTCCCCACTTTGAAGCTAACTTCAAAGATTATGGTATGGCAGGGACCAAAGAAACCCTGAACTCCAGGTCCTGGGCTGCCTCAATAAGACTAAAAGCTTCCTTCTCAGGAGAGAAGAGGAAACAAAGAACTGACCCTTTTTCCTTGTTGGGAAAGACACTGCACAGACACTAAGCCACAAACAATGCATGATCCCAGTCTGTTGGAATCAGCTGAAGGGCAGTGTAGAGGCTGCTTCCATCATGAGCAGTGGACACAACAATCCACGAAGGTAAGAGGGACAGTGGTCAAGCACAACTCCCTGGTACATAGGCCTCTAGGAAAGAACCAGGAAACCTTATTCATCATCTCTCTTCCAGCAAACTGCCACCCTCCACCCCCTTCAATTCAGCCTGTAACAAGGAGCCCTAGGTTACCACGGAGATAGGCAAGCAAAGTGACTGAGAAGGGTGTAGACAAAATGCCTGGTGGGAGGGAAGAGGAAGGTCCTTAAACCAGCCACCTGCAGCTCTTTCACACATGGCCTAGCCGCTGGCCAGGAGGCAACACATGGCCCCCCAACTCCTGTCAGAGGTAGCTTAGGTCACCCCTAAGACACTTAAGAGTAGGGCCCATCAGTTTCTGGACACCCCCCCGCCTGAGCCTGCTATTCAGCATCCTAAGAGCAGGAGCCAGGCTGACAGCCAATGCCTGCCCCAGGACCTCTCCACTCCAGCTGAGGGAGTGGCACAGAGAGTGTTCCAGTCCCTTCTAAGTTCCTCCCACTGAAGTGGGCGTGTGACCTTCACAAAGAGCAGCCTGCCACACCCCCCTCTCATGCCTGGGCTCCAGGTCTCTAGGGGTTGGAAACAATACTCCAGGGAGCAGCTAGCTCATCCCTGCTCTCCTAGTACTGTCCACAGAGGAGGCAGTATGTGCACAGAGCACACAATACCTTGGTTGCTCAGCATCCTCTCTGCTCCGGAAACAAAGAAACTCCCAACTTCTCCTTCCAGTCTGTGCTGGCATCCTCTAGCGTTGAGGTGCTGCTGTCCAGACCCTGGTGCCCATCTCTGCCTGGCCCCAGGTGCCCCTTGCCCCCACCTCAGGGTTACCCTGACTGCAAGTAAAGCCTGTCATTTTCCTTAGCCTCTCTGGGAAGTTACTTAAAGCCGCTCATGCACATGCTAAACCACCAGTTCCCCATAGAATCCCAGAAGGATCTAGACCCTTCTGGCTTGGTCCTTCCATTTCAAAACTACCCTGTCCTAAGCGGCTTCTGGACTTTGACTTCAGGTTAGCCACAGACAGTTGTACACAGGTCTAGCCACATGCCCAACCTCCCTTCCCTGCAGCCCCCCAAATCCAGCTGACCACACTGGAGCCAGCTCCAGTCAGCCCCCAGGTGGCTGAAGCCATGTCGCTTCCCACAGAGAGGCGCCTGGGTTACCATAGGTGCAGTTACAGCAGAAGCGAATGATGAAGAGGATTTCCATGGCAGCCTCTGTCCCCACAGAAGGGGCGTGCAGCCATTGCTCCAGGCTCCGGGCTCTCCTCAGCAGCCTGGCCACTCGACCACCTTGCCAGCTGCTGCTGCACAACCTCCAGAATCAAGCAGCCAGCGGCTTGCTTCCTTCCAAGTGCTCCTCCAACAAGAGGGAGGGCGGGAACGTGGAGAGGTGGGAGGAGGAAGAGAAGAGAGGAAGGAGGAGGGCCAAGCGCCTGCTGGCATCCTAAGGAAAAGCACGTTTGTAGCTGGCCCACTGCCTGGGGAGGATTGTGCGCGCGTGCGCGTGCACACACACACACACACACACACACACACACACACAGAGGCACGCACGCGCGTGCGTGCATATACACACACACACACACACACACACACACACCAAAAAAAAAAAAACAAAGGAGGACACCATGTTCACACAGCCCATAGTTCAGTAAAACAGACAAAGGAAGGTGACTGTAATCCAGCCCATTCCTCAAAGTACCTTCCATGGTGACTGATGTGTGGCTGTCCTTGGAGTCCTTGGGCCCTTTCACTTTGAGTTCCTGTCAGAGGGGGGAGAAAAATCACTACCTGGTCTGTCTGGCTCACCCCTGCCCCGGCTTCTGTTTTGCTGAGCACAGTGTAAAACCCAGGGGCATAAATACAAGAGGCAAGAAGGCAGACTCTGGGAACCAGAGGTCAGACTGGTTGGTAGAAAGCACTGTGGCAATGGGAACTCCTAAGATCTGACCACTCATGCCCTTGCCCCTGGAGGACAAATGTGGCCAAGAGCAGGGACCCTTCCTGCTGCTAAGCACGCTTCAGGCATGTGTACACATCAGTCTAGGGAGGACAAGGCTGAAGTCAACAAGCACTAGCTGTGCCAGCTGACCCTTGGGGCATGAACATCCCTGAGCCAATGCAGGGGGAGGGGTCTGAACACCTGCACAGGTGTAAGTAGAGGAGGCAGGCTGGAGCAGGGACACTGAGTCCACAGGGCAATCCAAGCTACATCCTCCCCATACCGGGATGGCACCCAGCCCCTAGCCTTGATGACATTTCCCACCACTCTTCCTAGAGCCCATGCTAAGTGACCCAGGAATTAATGCTGGAAACAAATTCCAGGGACAGCTCATCAGATCCAAATCTCTTCTGTCTGCCTATGATGTCCCAGCCTTTGCCAACAGGACCGTGCAGCCTGCAACTGGAGCTGAAATGCAATCTCCATCTGGCAGGCTAAGCAACCGAGCCTAGGAGAGAGGCATGTCCTGAGAGGCGGGGGCAAGGTGAGGCCAAGGTCAGGTGCCCAGGTGCCTGCCCCTCCTGGGGGAAGGCAATGCCCATGCAGTAGGAGCTCATTTCCTACTGTCTCCAGGTGTTTCTAGACAGAGAAAACCTCCAGGGACTGAGCTTGGTGGAGGGTGGAGGGTGGTGGTGGTGGGGGGGAGTGGGGAAGTGGGGGGAATGGAAGGGTGGGGGAGTAGTTAACAGCCTCTTCAGGCTGAATCTGTGTCTCACTGGTGTCTGGATTCCTGGCTTTAAGGAATTTTGCTCTACATTCCCTCCAGTGCAGCCTAGAGGTATGAAATCACTGCTACTGCAGAGGAGAAGGGCCTAATTGCAGTAATTAAGTGGCAGCACCAGCAGAAGCATCAACCTTATCTCACTGAGTGAGTCAGGATGAGCAGCCACCTGGCAGAGAGCCATGGGCCTGGCTCTCTGCCCTCTGGGACAGGCTTTGAGGGGCTTATGCATGGGTACAGGGACCTCTGCCCACACAGAGAGAACAGTCAGCCAGGCTAAGAGGGGACCACACAGTCTCTGAACACTCTGGACCATGTTGGCCTCTAAGTGCCCAGCACCCTAACAGAGCCACTGTGAACATACATCAGTGAACCCAGTTTGTTCCCAGGAAGGGCTACAAGCTGAGAGGAAGCACCATTTCTCTAGCCTCATGACTTCATTTAGAGGGACTTCCCCACCCCTTGTCCCATCCTCCCAGTGGGTGACTCATCTGATTCACTGGTTTGGGAGAAGAAACAGAGCACAAGCCTCTTCTCTGCACCCTGAGTCAGAGGGGCAGGCTCTGTCCCCACTGTGGGGAGGGGACTGTAGCATAGATACATTTGCTTACAGGGGTGAAGTGTTAGTAAACCCTGTGTGGCCGTACATCTAAACCTACATGTTCCTATCCAGCTTTTTTCTCATAATCATCCAGACATTTTCATCTCTATCTGCCCAACAGCTCTGTGGCCTCTGGGTCAATTCCAACTAGGGTATAACTGGGAACCCCAGCAGTTTCAGGAAATCTAGAGTGCGCCTCCCCTTACTTTTCTAGCTAAAGTGGGGGAGAGGGGCTTTAAGACAGGACTTCCAAAACTACAGAAATACCCATCCCTCATTCCTCAACCCTGTCTAAAACAGAGACCCTCCTGCCCTGAGCTTAGACCTGGGAGCTTCCTGAAAGGTCAGTGGCTTAGAGTGTCTCAGGGTTCTTTGTGGATAAAGAAATGAGCTGGGTTGAAGCTCATACTGGAATACCAGCCTCGCCCTGCAACTTCCTGGATAGATGTGCCAAAAGCAAGCCAGGAATGGTGGTGCATGCTATAATCCTAACACCCAGGAGGCAGAGGCAGGATTGCAACAAGTTTGAGGCCACCCTGGACTATACAGTGAGTTCCAGGGCAACCAGGGCTACATAGAAATAACAACAAAAGAAGTGCCAGTGACAGGTGGTATCACACTTCTGCCCTACATAGGAGCATGAAGAGAAGGCTTAGCCACAGTACGTAGGGAAGGCCTGGCTAGGGTCTAGGGCTTCCGTCTTTAATTGGCCTTTAACTTTTTTTTTTTTGTCTTTTTGAGACAGGGTCTCCCTGTAGCTCCAGCTGCCTGGAACTCACTCTGTAGACCAGGCTGGCCTAGAACTCACAGAGGATCTGCCTGCCTCTACCTCCCGAGTGCTGGGATTAAAGGCATGCGCCACCACGCCCGGCTCTTTAACTCTTTGTAAGGCTTATAAGGCCCTTACAAAAGTACTCAGCACATAATAGTTCCTCAAACTTCCTTCCTGATATGTCACCCAGGAGTCTGTTAGAATATAAACTTCTGCCTTTGCTCCACATCCCCTGCCTTTTGAATCAAAAGCTTCAGAAGAGCCAGGAGTGGTGGCGCACGCCTTTAATCCCGGCACTTGGGCGGCAGAGGCAGGCGGATCTCTGTGAGTTCAAGGCCAGCCTGGTCTACATAGTGAGTTCCAGGACAGCTGGGGCTACAGGGAGACCCTGTCTCAAAAAAGACCAAAAAAAAAAAAAAAGTCTTCAGAAGAGCCATGAAGCATGGCACACAGCTGTAATCCCAGCACTCAGGAGGCCAAGGCAGGAAGACTACAGCCTGGACTGTCCCCAAAGAAAAAAAGAAAAGGAAATAGTTATAGGAAGGAGCCTGGGCAACTGCACTTTAAACAGTACCCTGGTAACATTTTTTTTCTTTTTTTGAGACAGGGTCTCAACTATGTAGCCCTGGCTGATCTAGAACTCACTATGTAGACCAGTACTGGTCTCGAACTCAGAGAGCCACCTGCCTCTGCCTCCTGAGCATTGGGGGTAAAGCCATGCTCTACCACACCTGGTTGCCCCAAGTGATTCTTATCTGGCAAGTCTGAGAAAAGCTGTGCCAAGTCCAAGCAGCTCATTCTGTAAAAGAGGAAACAAAGGTCAAGGACACAGCAGCAGAGGAGAATACAGCTTTTTTTTGTTCTGTTTCTCTCTCTAATCTGAAATAGAATGAAAAAAAAAATCTAACCAATCAATATTCCTGTATTAAGAGGAAAAATGTCAGTTGCAAGAAAGCGAATGTGCAAATGTCAGGCTGAGTATTATTGTGGGGAAAGGCTTCCTTGGGGCAAGCAAGGAAGGAAATGCATAGACTTAGAGGCTCCAATTTTTCCCAGAGCCAAGGGTGGATGGGGTGGCTGTGCAGAGAGAGCTGCCTACCTCTGAGATCTTCTGGAACTGGTTGTTGGACTGGCTGCACTTCTCAGCTGTCTCCAGAGCGACTTTATAGTTATCCACAAATGCTTTGTACACACCAAGCTGGCTGGCCTGCAGGGAGAAGAGAGGATGGAGGTAGAAGAGGGTGGGAGCAGGATGGACAGAGGATTAATGAATGGATGAAAGCTTAACCTGAGCTCCTGGAGCTCTCAGTGTTCAGAACCTCTAACTCAGCTCCAAAGGGCTTGCTGGAAACCAGGAGAAAGGCAGGGATGAACATATTACAGTATCCCTTTGAACTTGATGGTTTCCATGGAAACTGGCTCAGCCAATAAGGTTTAAAAGGGGGTACACTGGGAGGGAGGAGAACAGGGCACAGCCTTTGTTGGCATGCATGCTAGAAATTCTACTCAACACTTGGGAGGTTTTTTATAAAGCACCATCAAGGTCTCCCAGGGTTTGAAGCCTCTTACCTTACACCTTTCACATCTTGAAATTAGATGGATCAAGAGAGACAAAGGAGTGGGGTGGGCTTGTGTGTGTGTGGCTTGCTCAGTCCTCCTTCCCATGCCAAGTAACTTATGTCCTGTCCCTAACCTCCTCTGCCTCCAAGGAGCCAGAGCCCCTGCTTCACTACACACCTACATGCTACTTGGACCTTAACATAGCTTGCCTTCACTGTGACCTCAAACAGCTTAGTCTCCTTTTTGAGGTGGACATGATCCTTTCATCCCTTTCTTCAAAAGGGGAAACTGAGGCTTACTAATTCAATTCCTCAAATATTTATAGCAAGGCTTCTCTGGGCTGTGTATACATTATTTCTTCCTAAGGGAGCAAATAATAGAAAATTAAAATAGAAATTAAAATTAAAGCCACAATGAGGGACTGTCTCAAAAAAAGACCAAAAAAAAAATAAAGTTGATTAGTATTGAAATAACAATATTTGTATCTGTTGTGACAAATAAAATACATCCTTAAAATTAGTTTCACCTGTTCTCTTTTCCGCCTTTTAAATAGCTTTTTTTTTTTTTTTTTTAAAGGGGGGGCCCCTTTTGGGGGCA